TTTATCCCTTTTCTTTTCGAGATTGGGCAAATCCGTGCCGACTACGACAACTCCACTCGTCTCTTCCGCCAAAGGCAACAGGAGCTAGCTGTATGTTGTTTCCCCCGTCAACATCTGATAAATTTTCTTTCAGTCTGCTGTTTAGATTCCGGAAGCGACTGACATGGATATTGACATGGATAATTTAGTAGACAATTTTAGAGGGAGAAATATTGGTTGGTCTTTTTTCGTAGCTTTTCTCATCGGTCGAGAGTTTTCCATAGCGCAATAAGAATCTAGGGCCTACAAATACTGGTGGACACGTGACAGTGGAGGATATTCTGGCGAAGTTGAAATCGCGGTGAGTTTATTTTCAGCTTGAAGTTCTCCCCTGCCCCATTTATTTCTTTTTTGCTTGTATATCTCTGAAGAGGATTCGTCTGGTATTGTTTCTTTTTATCAGAAAGTTCCAGACTATTTTACTTCAGCATTACCGACAGGGAAGAAAGATTGAATGCGAAGCGATATGAGGTTGAGAAGATCGAAAACACTTTGCAGGAGAACAAAGCTACCATTGCGAAGGTAGGCTTTGGCTGGATAATTCTTCTTTGGTTCATGTTTTCGTGTTGTTCGTCCTTCACCCTGCTGTTTCAGTTGGAAGCCGATATGCCGGTGCTAGCTAGTAAATACACAATGTATCAGGAACTGCGAATCTATTGTCGCAGTCTCCTCAACTGTCTCAACGAGAAGGTTTGAAGCACTACTTCATCACTTCTGGCGCTCATGTCAACCTTTTCATATTCAGGTGGCTGAGATCAATGAACTTAGTGATAAGCGTCAAGCTTTGGCTAAAGCTCGATCTGAACGCCTAGCAAGGCGTCGAAGAAGGGATATGCGAGATGCCTACAATGATTGCGTAACTGCTGCGTCAGGAAAGAATCCTTTGCATACGAGAACTCCAGAAGTTATGCTCCGTGTAGCCGAAAGAGATGCAAGAAGGTATCTAGTTTACTTTTTTGATCAAGCAGAGCAGCAGTCTTATAGTTTAGTTCGCTGCGGACGGTTGGGAGTGTCAGGCGATGAGTTGGCGCGGTGCCAAACCTGTTATTCACCAGTTGTAAAGCGAGCGAGATATGACTGTATCATATCGTTCGTACTTACTCGTTTTCTACCACTTTTTGTCGCATGCGCGCTTCAACAAGAAGGCAGAGAACGGCTTTGACGGCGTGACACACTCATACTGCCTGACACGCCCAACTGTCCGCAGCGAACTAGAGTATATATTCTCTCGCTTGTCACCACAGTCTGTCTTGATGTTTCTTGCCTTTTGCTATTTTCCGTTTTTCATCAGCTTTGTTTTCCACAGTGCTATTGAAACTGATTTTGTTACCAACAATGGATTACGGCTTCCTCGCCAGTTAAAGAACCTACTAGAGGTTTCTCCAGGGCAAATTTACAAGGTCTAAATATCAAATGCGCGAGTATTTTAAAGTGGTCGTTATGTGGCTCGAAAAAGTGCTGCGACAGGACTACTTGTTATCGTGACAGTGAGCATAAACCCTACGTCTGAAAACAGGGTCAAGTCAATTGCGTAGGACAGAATCGATCATAATGCCTCATTCCGTTGACCCCCCCTACTGGGTGAGAGCGAGGTCCCCATTCGTCCCTTATGCGAGCCACAGTGGTCCAGCAGTTCTTTTAGCTCGTCATTTATGCGTAGAGGTTTTATGAAGAAGTGTGACCGTGAAGACATCAAGGTCCTTCTTCACGATGTTCCCTGATCTTCTGAGAGATACAGCCGGTAAGTGTTCAGGTCCAGCACTTTTCACGAAAACGTCTCACGTGATTGACTCACTGGTTCCGATAGTAATACTTCGGAAGATGAG